TTTGATGGGCTATGCCTGCCTGGTGTGTGTGTGGTTTAATGGGCCACACTTGCCTGGTATGTGTGTATGTGTGTGTGTGTGTGTGTTGTTTAATGGGCCACGCTTGCTTGAGGGGTGTGTGTGTGTGTGTGTGTGGGTGGGTGGTATAACAGGCCGCACTTGCCTGGTGTGTGTATGTGTGTGTTGTTTAATGGGCCATGCTTGCTTCAGGGGGGGTGTGTGTGTGGTTTAATGGGCCACACTTGCCTGGTGTGTGTGTGTATGTGTGTGTTGTTTAATGGACCACCCTTGCCTGGTGTGTGTGTGTGTGTGTGTGTGTGTGTGTGTGTATCAATAGGAGGACGGTTGGACAATGGGCCACACTTGCCTGCTACCTTCGTGTGTGTGTGTGTGTGTGTTGTTTGATGGGCCATGCCTGCCTGGTTTGTGTGTGGTTTAACGGGCCACACTTGCCTGGTATGTGTGTATGTGTATGTGTGTTGTTTAATGGACCACACTTGCCTGGTGTGTGTGTGTGTTGTTTAACGGGCCATGCTTGCCTGGTGTGTGTGTGTGTGTGTGTGTCAGTCGGAGGACGGTCGGACAATGGGCCACGCTTGCCTGCTACCTTTGTGTGTGTGTTTGAGTTGTTCAAGAGTCCGGGAAATGAATGTTGCTTCTAAAACGAGAGTGCAGATGCCCTGTTAAGACTCGACCTCATTAAGGAGAACTTTTGGGTGGAAAAGCATGTCTTCTTCCTAACTCATGTTTACCTGGCACAAAAAAAAAAGAAGCACTAAAAAAAAATACAAGATTCATCGGGGATGAGGGAAGTGGCTTGGTAGTAAAAGGCAAGCCTTTCATGTCTGAGATATGGGTTCAATACCTGGCATCCCCCCAGATATTTAAAATTTAAAAAAAAAATTATCTGATTTGTCAACCGCCAATTATGTGTAGTGTTTCCTGCACAACAAAAAAAAAATAATTTCACTGTTGAGAACAAATGGCAGGTGAAAAACTACATGTAGAGGCTTCATTTTTAAAAGCCCCCCTTTTTCGGGGCTGGGGACCAAACCCTCACACGTGCAAGGCAGATATTTATGGGTGAGCCACATCCTCTAAATGACACTTTTTTTTTCCTTTTTGTAACTCAGGGCCTCACACAAGGCAAGTGTTCTACCCCTACTGAGTCAGCGGTTTTTAATTTAAAAAAATTTAATTCCCGTAATAATTTTGTAAATGGAGAGTATATAAGCCTGAGGAGAGAAGGAAAACAGTTGGCATGTTGACATAGTCTGGGTGTTAATTTGCTTGGGCGAGTTGGGTGGGTTTGGGTCACCAGCTCTAGTCCAGGGCTATTACTGACTGTTGCTTAGGTGTGAACCCCGGTGGTGCCTGAGATGGGAAAATGTTAAGTGATTTTTTTTCTGAGTGAATAGATGGCAAATGATCTCGGTAATTTTTTTTGCTTTGAGCACAAGCAGTGCACCAAGCTGGGAGTAGCTTGGTGCTGGGGGGGCAGGGGTCTCCTGGTGGTGCTTCCGGACTGTGTGTGCACCAGGGATCAAGTGTTTACTCCTGGGGGTGCTAGGGATTGAACCTGGTTCAGCGGCATGCAAGGCAAGCACCCTACCCTGCTGTAGTATCTCCACCCCGATTGCTGGGTGTGTTTGTTTGTTTGGGTTTGGTTTTGTTTATTTACGTGAGCAAGGGTCTGGGGGGTGAATGATAAGTTGGGGGGCGGGGAGGGTCAAAATCTTCCTGAAGACGTGGTAATGCCCCTTGCCGATGTACGTGTGAGAGCCCGAGTTCCATCTTCACCTCCTTCTCCCCACCCCACAGAAGACTCCAGAACCTTCGTGAAGAGTACTAGTGAGCAAGTGTAGACATTGGCTTGCCAGAGTAAAAAGCCAAACCTCTTGTCGTCATGAAGGCACATTAAAAAGTTGTCTGAAATGAAGGCTGGCCAGCACCTTTTTGGTTTTGAGTGGACATCTAGTCGTCCAGTTGGAAGGTCTGCCAAAGCATCAGTCCCTTCCAGTCAAGGTGGTCCTCAGCTCGGACCACCTTGACCGCCAAGACAGCACGACCCCTGCCAAGCTGTGACCGTGCTGTCTTGCCTCGCTGGGTTTCCTTTTCTGTTTATGCTTCGGTACCAGAGAATTTGTGTTGTGTTCCGAAATAGCAAGAAGCTACTCTGAGATGCTTGGCTAATGGTTTTCAGTGTTTTCCCTGACACCGGAGTGTTTAGAACATGAATTACGATGCTGTAGGTAGTGTGAATTCTAGAAATGTACAGAAGAGGTCTTGGAAGGCCGAGAGGGCCCCCTGGACTAAGCGTGCTTTACATGCTGGACGCCCGGGTTCCGTCCTTGGCACCACTGCTCTTGGCACAGAAATACAAGTAGAACTAGAGGTTGAGCTTTGGGCTGAAGCTGGAGCTTAGTGCCCTGTGCTCGCTCAGCTTTGCGTGCAGGAGGCCTGGCTGCGGTCCTGTACCCCAGGCACCAGCAGGAGGAGCCCTCACCACTGCTGGGAGCTAGGCTTGAAAATTCCTCTAGGACAGCAACGTCAAGGCAGTTTTTATTTTATTTTTTCCCCTTTGGAGCCATGCCTGGTGGGCTCAGGGCTTATTCCTGGCTCTGCACTCAGAAATTACTCCTGGCCATGCTTGGAGGACCATATGGGATGCTGGAGAGTCAACCTAGGCTAGCTACAAGCAAGGCAAGCACCCTGCCTGCTGGCTATACTATTGCTTCAGCCGAGCAGATTTTACTTCAAAAATAATAATAATAATAATGAATTCTTGAATGCACTTTTTGAGATGGGCTCCAGGATGCTGTGACGTCAGACTATATAGGAGGAGGTGCTGTTTCTATAAATTCTCGTGCGCTTCTTTGGGTGACTCCCTTTCCTGAAGATGCAGCCCGCTGGCACGGTGATTAACAAAGGAGATCTGCTCGCAAATAAGGAGCCCTTCAGAACGCAGCAGTCGGAAGATGAGCCATCCATCGCTGCTTCTGTGGTGTAGCGGACTTTTCACAGCGCTCGCTCTCTCTCTCTCTCTCTCTCTCTCTCCCCCTCTCCCTCTCCCTCTCCCTCTCCCTCTCTCTCCCCCTCTCTCTCCCTCCCTCCCCCTCCCCCCTCTCTCCCCTCTTTTGTTCTGGACTTGTTTTAATTATATTTTTTAAATTGAATCACTGTGAGATACATAATTACAGAGTTGTTCATGATTGGGTTTCAGTCACAGTGCTCCAGTACCCATCCCTTCACCTGTGTACATTTCCCACCACTATCCCCATCCCTCACCCCTTGCCCAGCCTGCCTCTATGGCGAGCACTTTTCTTCTTTCTCTCTCCTTTCTCCTGGTGCTTATGGTTTGCAATATAGGTACTGACAGGTCATCCTAACTGTCCCTTTATCTATGTTCGGCACTCTTCCCCGTACCTCACAGGATGTAAAGATACTATCAAATTAGGGTCAGGAAGACGCCCAATAAATCAAAAAAGTTCTATCTGATCACCTGTGGTGCTAATCATACCAGGGATTTAGAAGCAGCAAAAGTAGTATATGCACGAGCGCCAGGGATATACAGGGGTTGAGACCTTTGCGGAGCATGTGGCTGATCAGGATTCAGTTCCCAGCACTGCATATGGTCCCTTGAGTTCACCAGGAGTCTGTCCTGAGCCCAGAGCCAGGGATAAACCCTGAGCTTATTCCTACACCAAAAAAACAGCAACAGTCGTGTGTCCCCCTTACATACATACCTCGCCGCTTGAAATTAGGTGGTCTTAGTAATGACGTCAAGTTCTGCCTGCTGTCGAAATCACCTGGATGATAGGGAAAGTATTATACTCTGCTGGCTGAGAAAATCTGACACAGCGTTTCCTCTTCTGCCCCTTCCTACCCACCTGGTGCCTCAGTGGAAAGGGAACCGTTAGGGGTCAGCCCCAGAGCACCAGTAACTCGGCTCCGTCACCAGCATGGCCAGAAAAAATAAAAGCAAATGGACTCATGGCATGGAGTTTAAAATTATTGGTGTTTTTCAAATTCCCATCCTACCATTAAGTGTCTGAGTTTTCCTCATCAGTAACAAGGGATGATTATCTGTTTTGAGAAACGTTGTGGGATTTGCATATCACTGAGTTAAATATGAATGTAGACGGGGTGTTCCGTAAATTATGGTGATTGTTCTGCTTTTGGGCTGGAGGGATAGCACAGTGGTGGGGCATTTGCCTTGGACGTGGCCGGCCTGGCCAACCCGAGTTCGATTCCTCCGCCCCTCTCGGAGAGCCCGGCATGCTACCGAGAGTATCTCGCCCGCACGGCAAAGCCTGGCACGCTACCTTTGACGTATTCGATATGCCAAACGCAGTAACAACAAAGTCTCACCATGGAGATATTACTGGGCCCGCTCGAGAAAATCGATAAACAGCGGGAGGACAGTGACAGTGACAGTTCTGCTATTAAGTCATATAGGCCTAGGCGATTTAAAAGCCTGTGATTTTTGGTCTGTGTTTCAACATTTTTGGTTTCATTACTCAGTAAATTAGTGAAGACTTGTAATTGAAACTGAAACACGGTAATAGCTTTAGACTATATATTAATTTCAAAGAAATACGATGTTTTGGGGCCAGGCAACAATATCGTGGGTAAGATGCTTGCCTCGATTGCAGTTGACGCAGGTTCGATCCCTCGGATCCCGTATGGTCCACCGAGCCCACCAGGAGTGATTCCTGAGTGCAGAGTAAGGAGTAACCCCTGAGCACTGACAGGTGTGTACTATCAGGTGTGTCCCCCGACAAAAGACAGAAGGTGGTGTTTATACTTAACCTGTTTATCAGTGTAAATATTAAGTACTTAATATATTGTGCATTCAAAAAATTATTTTCCTTGAATTATTGCTGTACAACTTTAGCTTATTAAAGGTTTGATAACCATTGTATTCTTGAATCTCATACATAAACTTACATGAGTTTTTTGCTTATATGATTTTTGTTTTGCTTTTTTACAGAAATTTCTGTAACCCTCTGAAAACCATCCTGGAATTAACTTCCTCGCTTCAGTATTAAGAACTATACCAAGTACGTAGACGGCTTTGGGAATTTGATGATATGCTGGTGCTGTGCAGTTCTCCTTTCCTCAGAATGTCAGATGTGATCGTGATAAGAAAGAAAATGAAGTGGGGATACCGAGGGGGGTGCTGTCCCAGCCTGTTGCTGAGGGTCTTTCCCGGGGGGCTCTGGGGGGTCAGGGTGTGGAGGACTCACCCAGAGCTTGTGTGTGCAGTACTTGCTCTCCAGGCTTGACCCCTAGGCTGTTTCCCTGGAAACGTGGATGCTGTGGGCAGGGGGTGAGGCACGTGCTGTGTGTCTGGCACCCCATGACTCAACACCATGTTCCCGAGCACTTCCTCTGGGTTTGAGCAGCAGCTCGTGTTCAGGCCCAGAGCACTGCTTGGGTAACCCCTCCCGGCACCCCAAACACAAAAATTGGGTTCTGAGTTATTGTTTCCTGGAAGCCAAAAGATCAATATAGATTTGTAACTATATAAATTTATGTATATACGTGTGTGTGTGTGTGTGTGTGTGTGTGTGTATTTATTTATTTATTTATATAGTGCTCAGGGATCACTCCTGACGTGGCTTGGTACTCTGTGGTGCTGGGGAGTGAACCCTGGTCAGCCGCATACTTCCCAAGAGCCCTAGCCCTATTTCTCCAGGCTTTGAGCTGTCTCCTTTGCCTGTCACTGGATAATCATCTGCATTTGAAAAGACCTCCTGGGCTCATCAGGGAAGAACACAGAAGTTGGTGTCCTATCTTCAAATGTGCTCCAAACAAAAATATCTAATAATGTGTCAGTGGTGTTTTTAAACAATTTTCTTATGAAACAGATTTTTGTGTGACAGTTTTTGTTGTTGTTGACACATTTCTTATTACCAGTAAAGTCTTTGATCAGAAGTGATTTTTGTAACAGTATATTTCTTTGTAAGAGATTTCTTGACTTTTCTCATTTTTAGATTGAAAAGATATGAATGAATACCCTAAGAAAAGAAAAAGGAAGACGTTACATCCTTCTCGTTATTCAGGTCAGTGTTGAGTATTTTACAAGGGCCGGGGATTAATTGCCATGCACGTGTAGTCCCATGTATTCTCTCAGAAATGTTTGGAGGTTTCGTTTTTAACAAGTCACCTGTAAATAAGCTGTCTGTTTGTTCCTCATTGCCCACTAGGTGCCAGGCACACATCAGAACTCTGTATTTGTTATTTAATCCTTCATGATTTGTATTTAAAGCGAGGTATCTGAGGCATTTGTCAAGTTTGTGCTAAAGGCCTGATGTTCTATGGGGAGGAAATATTTTGTATCCTTGGGGAGAATCTTTCTCCTGTACGTTGTTTTCAGAAATGCCAGCTTTGGGGCTGGAGCGATAGCACAGCGGGTAGGGCATTTGCCTTGCATGCAGCCAACCCAGGTTCGATTCCCAGCATCCCATATGGTCCCCTGAGCACCGCCAGAAGTGCATGAGCCAGGAGTAACCCCTGTGCATTGCCGGGTGTGACCCAAAAAGCAAAAAAAAAAAAAAGAAAGAAAAAGAAAAGCCAGCTTTGGCGCATACCATCGTGTGTGGCCTCTTCTTTTGACATGAGGTACTCTGCATTCTGGAGGCGCCTTGGAGTGTTGTGATTCCTCTTCCTTTACTTTATGAACACTCTCCTTCTCTCCTTTCATTTTCTAAGTAAAACTATTTGACTTCTCTTTTTTGTCAATTTTTTTTTTTGATAGTGCAATTTTAGATTCTTTGAGGCTGGCTGTGCAAGGAAGTCTTTTGGTGGAGGGGGGCTTGCGTTTTGTTTGTTTATTTGGATCGTCATGAGATTCAGTTAAACAAAGGTACAGTTACAAAGTTGTTCCTGATTGGGTTTCAGTCATACAATGTTCTGACGCCCCTCTCTTCACCAGTGCAGTTTCCCACCACCACTCTCACCACCACCCCCAGTCCCCGACTCCACCACCACTCCCAGCCTGTCTCTGTGACAGCCCCACTACCCCAACCCCTACCCTTATCCCTCTCCCTCTCCTTCTCTTTTGGGCATTATGGTTTGCAATGCAGGCACTGAAAGGTTGCATGTATATCCTTCTACCGCCTTTCAGCGCTTAGTTCCTGTCCATAGTGATCCTTTCCAAGTATCATTGTCCTTGTGGTCCCTTGTCTGTCCTAATTTTATTCTCCACAGCTTGTGGCAAGTTTCCTACCATGACCTGGTCCTCTTGGCCGTTTCTATTGTCTTTGGGTGTTATTCTCATACTGTGGTTTGTTTTAATTTTTGGCAGGGGTGGGGGGTATCCTACAAATGAATGCAGTCTTTCTGTGTCTCTCCCTCTGACTCATTTCACTCTGCATGATAGTCTTCATGACTGTCCATCCATCCATCAATCCATCCCTGTAGAAGCAAATTTCATGACTTCATTTTTCCTAATGGCTGCATAGTATTCCATTGTGTAGGTGTATATACAATGTGTATCTATACACTGTACAAACCATAGTTTCTTTATCCAGTCATCTGTTCTCGGACACTCGGGTTGTTTCCAGAGTCCGGCAATTATGAATAGCGCTGCAGTGATCATAGGTATGCAGTTGGCTTTTCCGCTGGGTATTTTTGCCTCATTTGGGACACTGAGGCAAGCCTAGCGTCAGCCTGCATCGGGGCCACCTTGGTACTCGGGTTTGGAAGGAGGTCTTTTCTCTCACCATCCACACAGAAACAGATATTAGGACCTTAGGTCTTCACATGGCAACCCACCCAGCCTACGTATTCTTCAGATCAAAGGAAATGAAACTGAGTTTACAACTCCCCGTCCTCCCACCAAGGTTTAAATGGCTGCTTGATACCCCTCACTGGTCTTCAGGTGGTTTCCAATAAGTTATACTTTCTCGTCACTGACCTGCAGATCTGCCTGATAGTTAACTCAATATTCTTTACACTCACCACACGTTTTTATTTTGTGGGATTTAGACTCTAAGGCAGTGTTTTTTCGTGCTTCAAAGTTGACTTTTAAAAAAACTCAAGTCGGAACTGCGCTCATGCACTTCTGTGAGTTTTAAGTGAACCTTGTTGGCTGCTTCTGGTGAGACCATTGGCTGTCCCCTGTGAGCACCATTGGCTGCCCCTCGTGAACACCGTGGCCATCCAAGTGAACACCTCTGGCTGTGTCCCTGGTCAGCACTGTTGGCTGCCCCTAGCCACAGGTTCTGCATTCCCATCTTCAGCCAACAACAGATGCAGAAGTGTAGGTACTGGGGCCCACCAGGCCCTTGAGCAGCTGTAGATTTTGGTGTCTTCTGGAGCTGCTGAAATCAGTCCACACAAATACCAACCGTAACTTTAGTGACGTCTTGGGGGAGGGCTAACGCCTCTACTGTCTGTCCAAGGGGCAGTTATATTTTAAGTTGTATAACTTAAAATGTATGCAATTGTATAAAACTCAGTGCCAGTATCAAGTCTGCAAACAAGAGCTTTCAGAGTTGAGGGAAACAATGCTTGATCACAAATACTCTTAACAGTTTATGTTGTGGGGGGAAGGCCACCCTTCACTAAGTGTGTGTCAGTCGTGTCTGAAGTGTGCCCATTTTATTTCCTGCCCAGACTCTTCGGGAATAAGCAGATTTGCAGATGGATTCAATGGAATTTTTTCTGATCACTGTTACAGTGTCTGTTCCATAAGACAACCGGATTTAAAGTATTTTGACAACAGAGGTATGTCTAATATTTTTTTAGAGAATTTTTCCTAAGTTGCTTTTACATATTTCAATTTCTTGCTATTCTAAAATGTGTGTGAAAGGAATGGTTTGAGAATAGGCAGGTGTTTGAAAGTATTGTGAGGAAAAAAAGAAACAATTTTAATTGCTAGCATTATTTGACATAGAAATAAAAAGTGCGTTCTCCTCAGTCTTTCAGTTAACTCGGAATTGGTGGCAAAGCAGGAGTGGAAGGGGAGCGCCATAAGGAGAGGTCAGGCATAATGTTGGCTGCAGTTCTTTGGTTTAGCTCCGCCTTCAGTATGGCAGACTGACGGGTGGAAAGAAGAAAGAGTGAAGAATTTCGTTTTCATGATATTGCATCTTTTATTGACACTTATCCAGAGCATTGGGTACACGATAGCGATAGCACAGTGGGTAGGGTGTTCGCCTTACAAGCGGCCAACATGGCCGACCCGAGTTCGATTCCTCTGCCCCTCTCGGAGAGCCCGGCAAGCTACCAAGACTATTCGATATGCCAGACACAGTAACAACAAAGTCTCCAATGGAGACGTTACTGGGCCCGCTCGAGCAAATCGACGATCAACGGGAGGGCCTTTTACCTTACCTTTATAGACACCAAAACCCTGAGTTCCCTTGAGCTTCTGTAAACAGGTGTAGAAATACAAATTATTAAAGACCATGTTGAGTCAGGTATTAGCAAGAAGTTGTTTGTATAATATAGACAAATATATGCAGTAATACTGATATGTCTCGATGGGGATGATAGAGGATACCCACATTTTTATGCTGTTAGCCGAGAGGACATAAAAGAAAGAACCGTGAACATACTTAATTCTAGTAGCATTGAACATACCTAGATCTTTTATTTATTTATTTATTTATTTATTTATTTTAATTAGTGAAACACCATGAGGTACAGTTGTATATTTACAATTTTTTGTGCTTGGGTTTCGATTATACAATGATCAGATACCCATCCCTCCACCAGTGCCCATTTTCCACCACCATGGATAATATCCCTCCCACCCCCATCCCCCCATCCCCCCTGTCTCTGTGGCAGGGCAATCCCCTGTGTTCTCTCTCTCCTTTTGGGTGTTGTGGTCTGCAAAAGAGGCATTGAGTGGCAAACATGTTCAGTCCATAGTCTACTTTCGACATGCATCTCCCCTCCTGGGAGGATCCTCCTAACACCCTTTATTTGGTGCTCCCTTCTCTATCTGAACTGCCCTTTCCTCTAGGATACCCGGCTGGCCTCTAAGTTATGGAGTAATCCTCCTGGTGCTGATCTCAGCTATTCTTGGGTATTAATCTCATATTTTGTTACTTTATATCCCCCAGATGAATGCAATCTTTCTATGTCTATCCCTCTCTTTCTGACTCATTTCGCTTAGCATGATACTTTCCATATTGTACCACTTGTATGTAAATTTCATGACTTCATCTTTTCTAAGAGCTACATAGTACTCCATTGTGTAGATGTACCAAAGTTTCTTTAACCAGTCATCTGGCATTCAGGTTTCTTCCAGTTTCTGGCTATTGTAAAGAGTGCTGCAATGAACAAACAAGTGCAGATGTCACTTCGACTATACATTTTTGCCTCTCTGGGATATATTCCCAGGAGTGGTATTGCTGGGTCAAATGGGAGCTCAATTTCTAATTTTTTGAGAATCGTCCATACTGTTTTCCAGAAGGGCTGAACCAGTGGACATTCCCACCAACAGTGAAGGAGTGTCCCTTTCTCGCCACATCCACGCCAGCATCTGTTGCTTTTGTTCTTTTGAATGTGGGCCAGTCTCTGAGGTGTGAGATGGTATCTCATTGTGGTTTTGATCTGCATCTCCCTGATGATTAATGATGTAGAGCATTTTCTCATGTGCTTTTTTTCCATTCGGATTTCTTCTTTGAGAAAGTTTCTGTTCATTTCATTGCCCCATTTTTGGATGGGGTTGGATGTTTTCTTCTTGTGGAGTTTAACCAGTATTTTGTATATCCTGGATATCAACCCCTTGTCAGATGTGTATTCGGTGAATATCCTTTCCCATTCTGTAGACTGTCTTTGTATTTTGGTCACTGTTTCTTTGGAGGTGCAGAAGCTTCTTAGTTTAAGATAGTCCCATTTATCTATCTCTGTTTTCACTTGCTCGGCCAGTGGCGTGGCATCTTTGAAGATAGCATTAGCTTCAATGTCATGGAGGGTTTTGCCAACTTTATCTTCAATGTACCTTATGGTTTCTGGTCTGATGTTGAGGTCTTTAATCCATTTTGATCTTACTTTTGTACATGGTGTTAGGCAGAGTTCTGAGCCTATTTTTTTGCATGTAGCCATCCAGTGATGCCAACACAATTTATTAAAGAGGCTTTCCTTACTCCACTTCACATTACTTGCACCTTTATCAAAGATTAGATGATCATATGATTGAGGTGAGATGTCAGTGTATTCAACCCTGTTCCATTGGTCTGCAGTTCTGCCTTTGTTCCAGTACCATGCTGTTTTAATTATTACTGCTTTGAAACATACCTAGATCTTGACTCGTAATACTGTTCTCCAGATTTAAGAAATGAAAGTTTCTTGGAGGAATGCTGATTCTAGTCTTAGGTCAGAAAATAAATGGGATGAGTCTGGAACAACTAACAGTACTGGAAAATTGGTCCACACAAGTGTACTTATGCTGACGCACTCTCAGAGCATGCCAAAGGCGCACAGGGGAAATCTGGAGCAGCTCACGGTGCTGAAGTGTGCTCGCACACGCACGCGGGAACCATACCAGGGGAGCACAGAGGTCAGCAGGAAGAGCGCCAGTACTCAAAGCCGGACAGTTGGCAGAGAGAGGGGAGGATAGGACTGAATTGCAGCGCAAAGTGTAAATCTCTGCAGTCTTCACTGATGCTTGGATAGTTACGATGCTGGACTAAATGAGGAAGAGAAGACAGATTGATACAAAAGAATCCCAGATCCCTGTGCGGAGAGGTAAGACACTCTCGCCTTCCTTGCAGCTCGCCCTGTTTCCGTCCCCGCACCAGACTCAGTCTCCCCAGAGCATAGCCAGGAGTGACTTCTGGGCACAGCTGTTGTGACCCAAACACCATCCTTCCTCACCCCCCAAAAATACAGCTACTCCTTCCTCACAGTGGAGCCTGGTGTGTTCCCTCTGCCTGCATCACAGCCTGTGTTTTCTCTACTTTTTCTGACTCTGTACATTTTTCTAAATCTAGAAGCAGTGGATCATGGGATCATGGGTCAGGGCCGGGACCCAGTAGTAGAGCAGCGCGTAACCCTTGGCATCGCAAGAGAAAAAAGGAAAGATTATCCCCCTTTTCTTAAGGATTAGGGATAAGACAAAAGCCAAAAGTACAAAAGTGAAGGTACCTTTATGGTGAAGAACCCTTATAAATACCACCTCAGCCAGGTCATCAGTGTCACCATTAGCAAACAGATCACATTTTTAGTAGGCCACCTTCATATACAGATGGCAGTTTGTGTCTCTGGTCTGCCTTTCAGTAGCCCATCATCCTGGTCTCATTGTGGGAAAAAACTATGAATTTCAGTAGAGGGCATCTTGCATGTAGCACTTTACAAATCTGTCCTGGCCGTGAAAAACAAAGACAGTCTGAGAAACTGTCCCATCGTAAGAAATTGCTGCAGCTTCCACCTAACGACTGTGATTTGGCATCCAAGATGCAATCCTGGGAAGGGAAATAAACCGTTAGATAGAAACTAAGGCAATCTGGGTATGGACTTTTGTTATTAACTTACTCAACATTGGTTATTAATTGTAACAAATGTACCATACTGATGTAGCACTGTTCATGGATTTGCTCAAGCAGGCCCAGTAACGTCTCCATTGTGAGACTTGTTGTCACTGTCTTTGGCATATAGAATATGTCACAGGGAGCTTGCCAGGCTCTGCCAGGCAGGTGAGATACTCATGGTAGCTTGCCAGGCTCTCCGAGAGGGGCGGAGGAATCTGAACCCGGCTTGGCTGGGCTGGCTGCGTGCAAGGCAAGTGCTCTACCGCTGTGCTATCGCTCCAGCCCATACTGATGAGAGATGTTAATGGTGAAAAAGCTGAATTCAGGCTAAATTAGAATAGTGTTTCAGCATTTTCTGTAAACCCAACACCATGCTAAAGTGTGTTGAAAACAATCATATTGTGATGATCAAGCCCCATTTTCCTACTAACCTGTATTTCAACTTCCACAATGTTAATTTTTAAATATTGGGACCACATAGTACTGATACAGGCTAATTCAAACTTAAAATTTCTAAATATGGGACTCAGAGGTAGCTGGAAGCATTACTTTGCGTGTGTGAGGCGTGGGTTTGATGCCTGCATGGCACGGTCCCCTCAGCACCACCAGGTGTGACCCCCAAATCCAAAAATCAATAAAATTTTTAATTAATTTTAAAAAGTACTCTGGACCGGGGCTGGAGAGGTAGCACAGAGGGCAGAGCATTTGCCTTGCATGCAGCCGACCCAGGTTCGATTCCCAGCTTTCCATATGGTCCCCTGAGCACTGCCAGGAGTAACTCCTGAGTGCAGAGCCAGGAGTAACCCCTGTGCATCACCGGGTGTGACCCAAAAAGAAAAATACTCTGGACCAAAGAGCTTATGGAAATAAAAGAAAGTGCCTGTTCAAGCAGGTGTTTCTGTTTTTGTAGAACACAGAAAATCTCTTTCTAGCTAAGATTTCTAAGTTCTAAGTAAGATTTCTAACTAAGATTTCTTAGTTCCTGTTGAAATTCAAAAGTTTATTCGGAACATTTTGTGCAGTCTTAATGTTTAATGTAAATATTTTTCCAAATCTCTTACTACAGATGATGATTCTGATACTGAAACATGCAATGAGTTGCCAAAATTTACAGATGGAATAAAGTTCCGAAGTCAGCCTCAGAGCTGCCTGCTGCCCGGCCCTGTGCTCAGAGGCCTGGAGCACGCCGCCTTCTCTGCAGGTGGGGAGGCTTCGCTCGGAGGCTCTGCATGTCTTGTCATTTATCTGTGAAAAAATGACCACTAAATAATCTTCTTTTTGCCAGTTATCGTATAGTTGGTCAGTAGGGACCAGAGAGTTAGTCCAGGACTTCGGGCAGTGGCACCCGGTCTGGATTCAGATCCCTGCCAGCACGTGCCCCAAGCAGCACTGAGGGTGACTCGAGTGTGGCCCAGAAGATTTTAAAAATACAACCTTTAAAATATATATACGTATACATAAAATATACGTACATAATATATATACACATTTAAAAGTATATACAGGGGCTGGAGCGATAGTACAGTGGGTAGGGCTTTTGCCTTGCACACAGCCGACCCGGGTTCGATTCCCAGCATCCCAGATGGTCCCCTGAGCACCGCCAGGGGTAATTCCTGAGTGCAGAGCCAGGAGTAACCCCTGTGCATCACCAGGTGTGACCCCCAAAAAAGCAAAAAATATATATATATGTGTGTGTGTGTGTATACACACACACACACACACACACAGGAATGGTGATGTTTATTTCATTTTTCAGAAAAATCTGCCGATATTGAAATTTGTGACGAAGAGTGTGACTCGCCCGAGTCCGTCACCCAGCACACGCAGGAGGAGAGCCCCATAGAAGTCCACACTGCTGAGGATGTTCCGATTGCCGCGGAAGTGCATGCGATTTCGGAAGATTATGACCTAGAGACAGAAAACAATTCTTCGGAGAGTCTCCAAGACCAAACCGACGAGGAGCCCCCAGCTAAACTTTGCAAAGTTCTTGACAAGAACCAGGCTTTGAACGTGACTGCCCAGCAGAAATGGCCTTTACTGAGAGCCAATAGCAGCGGCCTCTACAAGTGCGAGCTCTGCGACTTCAATAGCAAGTATTTTTCTGACTTGAAGCAGCACATGATCCTGAAACACAAGCGCACCGATTCGAATATGTGTCGTGTGTGCAAGGAAAGCTTCTCTACCAACATGCTCCTGATCGAACATGCCAAGCTCCACGAAGAGGATCCCTACATTTGTAAATACTGTGACTACAAGACGGTGATCTTTGAGAACCTCAGCCAGCACATCGCAGACACGCACTTCAGTGACCACCTCTACTGGTGCGAGCAGTGCGATGTGCAGTTCTCCTCGAGCAGCGAGCTGTACCTGCACTTCCAGGAGCACAGCTGCGATGAGCAGTACCTGTGTCAGTTCTGTGAGCATGAGACGAATGACCCAGAAGACTTGCATAGCCACGTGGTAAATGAGCACGCGTGTAAGTTAATCGAGCTGAGCGACAAGTATAACAATGGAGAGCATGGGCAGTACAGCCTCTTGAGCAAAATCACCTTTGACAAATGTAAAAACTTCTTTGTATGCCAGGTGTGTGGTTTTCGGAGTCGGCTTCATACAAATGTCAACAGGCATGTTGCCATTGAACATACCAAAATTTTCCCTCACGTGTGTGACGACTGCGGCAAAGGGTTTTCAAGTATGCTGGAGTATTGCAAACACCTAAATTCACATTTGTCCGAAGGGATTTATTTATGCCAATACTGTGAATATTCAACGGGACAGATTGAAGATCTTAAAATTCATCTAGATTTCAAGCATTCGACTGACTTACCTCATAAGTGTAGTGACTGCTTGATGAGGTTTGGAAATGAAAGGGAATTAATAAGCCACTTGCCGGTCCATGAGATGACTTGATCTCTTTGGCTTTCATGATATTAATGTAAAATAGTAAGTCGTGCTTTTTTGAGATGTTAAAATGGGCGGTCTTTACCTCCACTTATGAGAATTGTCTTGCATAGGCAATAAGATTATTTCTTTTTAATCGTCCTGTTTTTTTCGCATTGTTAAATTTTTTGGTATATAGTTGTATTCAAAGCGTGGTATTTTCAGTGCATGTTATTTTACAGTTTTAACCACTCTTGGTGACTATCATCCTGTTTCTTGCGTGTTCGCTGATTCCATGAATTGATAAGAAACAGGTGTACTAAAGAAACTAGACTGCAGTTTTCCGTCCGTTACCATAGGTGCTATGAGTTTTTTTCTTTATACTTGAGAGAAGCTCAGTTGTTTGTGTTTGATGTCATTAAAGTATTCTACCGCCACAACCTAACCGCAACGGATTATACTTGGAGTCCGCTGATGATCCCATGAATAACCCAGACCTGCCTTTATTTTTGATGTAGGCACTGTGAATCACAGTTACCCATGGTCATTATTTTTATTATTATTTCAGGCATACAGTGTTTCCATGCAGTCCCTTTGCCAGTGGCCACTTCCCGCACCAGCGCTCGCGCCCCATTTGCCTCCTGCCCACCGGTCTGCCTCTTTGAGAGGCGCGTTTTTATGACTTTTGGCACTCTGGTTTATGGGACTGTTGCCGACAGTCATGTGTAACTCGACTGCCTGTCAACTGCCCTTCCTCCTCCCAGTTAAATTCTCTCCTCCAGAGAGATCATTTTGTATTGGTCTTTCTCCTCTACCTTGACTCAGCATGACACTCTCCATATCCATCCATGCAGCAGCCAGTTACGTGATTTTTTTGCGTATCTTTTATGGCCGAGTCATCCCATACTGTCAGACCCTTCATTGGCCATCAGTAATTTACCAGGACAATCAGGAAACATTTTAAATGTGATTTTTTAAATAACACTGTGAGATCATTGTCACAGTGGGAAGCAAACGTTTTCCTTGCATATCTGTTATTGTTCTTTTAGTTTTTTAGTTTTGGGCTGCACCAATGATGTTCAGGGGCCATCCTTAGGTCTCTGCTCAGGAGTGACCCCTGGCGATGCTTCAAGAACCACATACAGTGCTGGGGTTCAAACCAGGGTTGGCTGCATTGCAAGGGAAGTGGCTTAGCCCCTGTGTGCCTTAACCCTGTGCTGTCTTTTCAGCTCCCCAGAAGATTGGTTTTTGAGTTCTCACTTTATTTTAGCCCCTGTATCTGTATTAAATAATGTAAAGATGCTTCCAGTAGTACAGCGGGAGAAGTAGTTCAGCAGGAATGGTGTTTGCCTTGAATGCAACCAACCAGGGTTTGATCTCCAGCATTCCATAATGTTCCCTGAGCCCTGCCAGGAGTGATCCCTGTGCACAGAGTCAGGAGTCAGCCCTGAGCATTGCTAGGTGTGGCCAAAAAAAAAAAAAACCAACAAAAAGATGGACTTAGGAAAGAACTGGTAAGAGGGTGGCAAGACAATTAAAGCAACATTCCAAGTTTATGACCTTCTGACATTTTATTTATACTACTGTAATTGCAGGTAAGCCCAAATTTCTGATGTCATCATTTGAGAGAAAATGCATTATTAATTAAAAATTAGGAAGATCTGGGAAATATGGGTTGCTGGAATAATCTATAAATTTTTATAATTCAGCTGATGTCAAAACAAATTACTATATTACTATGCTAGCCTAAACAACAAATTTACTGGCTCACAGTTCTAGAAGCTAGAAGTTTAAAATAGAAATGTTGCGCATAACTTGTTCCTTCTGAGAGCTGTGAAGGAAGAGTCTGTTCTAGGCTTCCTTGGCTTGTAAGTGGCCGTCTTCATGTTCAGCTGATCTTCCTGTTTACATTGGTCCCCAGTAGTCCACCTTTGACCATTGATGTGCGACAGCAGCAGATCGCTTCCCGTGGTTTGTGAGGCCCTGGATTAGGCACAACCCCTGGGGGTAGGGGAGAACAAAACACCCTTTTTATAAGGACACTAGTAGTACTGGAATAGGTCTTACCCTGATGACTTCATCTTAACTTCAGCTTAACTGTCCATCCTCTCAGCAATCATCTTCTGACCTACTGGAGATCTGCACTTCAGATTGTGAGTTGGGGGAGAGACACAACAACCACAATTCCAAATAGTAGCTTCTGAAATAGTATCAAGAAGGTGAAATTCTGCTGACCTCAAATCTAATAAATATTGCAGCTGGCAGTATTCAAGTATAGTGATATGGTTGAAGAGGCTGAATTATGACCTGTGGTTTAAGTCTGGTTCGATCTCCCAATCTCCCAACACCACCTGTGTCTCCCTCTCCCCCCACCCCAAACCCCTGTTTCCCAGCACCACTAGGCACAACCCCCATGCGTGGAGCCAGGTGTAGCCCTGAGCATCCAAAGGAAAAGAGCCATGGACGGCCAGTGCTGTACTTCAATGGTAGAACGTTTGCCTTACCTGTGTGAGGCCCTGAATTCCAGCCCTGGCACCACTGAAAAATGGGCATTTTTGTCTACTTTGAGTATGAAGGCAGCAACAGGCGTTTAAAAACCTAATCATTTGAGCTCTACCACGTGCTTCAAGCACACGACTCTCCCATGTGACTGCAACACTCCATGTAGGGACTGTGACACAATCTTTCTTTGAAGACATCATAGATTAAAATGGAGAAGAACCTTAGAGACCATAAGGTCAGGGAGATAGCATTTGCCTTGCACAGAGCAAACCCCGGCACCCCACGGAGCAAGGAGTGTTCCCTGGGCACAGCTGAGCGTGGCCCCAATTCCCGCCCCTCTCCCCCCAAAATAAAACTAAATTTCTGGGGGGAGACATTTGATATATAAAGAAATTTGTTTTGTTTTGTTTTCTGAGTTTCTTGTAATGAAAGCAAGTTATTATTAGAACAAGGTCACAAAACCAGTGGTACAGACAGGAATGGAATCCAAGCTATTTGGCTCTTGGACTAGAGATGTTTCCATTTCAGGATGTTACATAAAATCTCAGCTTTGTCCTTGGTGCCCTTCTTCCTGACTTTACCTCATCATTCAGCTACCTTCCAGTTGTTTTTGTGCTTTGATACTGAGCCAGTTCCAGGAATTTGATTTCCAGGAAATAAACTTTAAATAAGTGCTCTTTAATTTTGTGCCCCCCCCCCCCCCCCCCCGTAATTTACAGCTTTATCTTTTTAGAATCTTTTTAGAACCATATGAACTTGTACTTCTTGGTGAATTTATGGCAAAGGCTGCATCCCACTGACACTGACAATTTGTCCAATACATTGACGTGGCTTTCACAAGTCTGCAACTGATCATAACTTGTTGAAGTAGCTGGTCTTTCTCCCTCACCCCTACACCGCCCTTTTTTTAGTTCAACTTCTTGGCATTAGTAAACATACCTAGAAAGTGTTTTGCTAAATACTTTTGGATTTTTAACCCCTTCCACAGGAAGGCATTTCCACTCTGTTCTTTTTCAACTTAAACTGATAGTGATGTGTATTGGCCCTGCACTAGAATTCTTGGCAGCCGTAATGCATTCTTTTGTCTTTTTTAATCTCACTAACCAGGCAATGAGATTCCTTTTGAAATTTTGAAAGTATTTCCTTTGTACTCCAAAATTGGAAAATTAGACTCTCTCTCTCTCTCTCTCTCTCTCTCTCTCTGTCCCTCCCTCCCTCCCTCCCTCCCTCCCTCCCTCCCTCTCTCCCTCCTTCCCTCCCTTCTCTAAATAAAATAAAAGAACAATTGAAAATGATCCTATATGCTAAAGCCTCTCATCTTTCTGCATGTGGCTGGCCCGGGGTCAGTCCCTGGCACCACATGTGGTCCCGCAAGCACTGCCAGGAGTGACCCTTGAGTGTCACTGGATATGACCCTAAAACAACCACAAAAAAGAATCAGCTATTAATTCTGACAGAGAAGTATATTTGATTAGACTGACCCTACATAATGGTCTCTTCCCTATAAATTAAAAATAAAATTTTGAGATACATATTTCTTGGCCTTTCACTTTCGGTTCCAATGAGTGCAACAATAAATCCACACATGGGAAGTTTTATTCATGGCATTGAGCTAATGTTATGTATACTCATGTTGGTTTAACCTTTCATAAATTAAGACATTCCAGGGCCAGACACAGCTCAGTGGGCCGAGTTTGCATGAAGGAGTCCCAGCGGGCTGAGTCTGCATGAAAGAGTTCCAGCGTATAGATGGATACATTGCACTGTGAGCTCCCCCAAGCACAGAACCAGGAGTTCTGCTGGATGCGCTTCAGAAACCACTGAGAAGGGAGGAAGGGGAAGATGAAAAAGAAAAGTAATTCAAACCTAAGAGAAACTTTCATCTGAGTTGTAGAACAATTTCACAAACCTAAAAGCCATTTGTAATTTACATGTTATCTGAAGTTCTATGTTCAGTTTTTTGGTTTGGTTTGGCTTTTGGTCCACACCCAGCAGAACTCAGTCTACTGCAGCTGCTTTCTGAGTGACCCCACTATGCCGTTGGTGAAACCCAGCCTTCCTCAGGCTAAACACCATCTTCAAACTCTCCCCTACAGCCCAGAGTGGTGGTGGTGTAGCTGTAGAGTATGTGTGTGTGTGGGGGGGGGGGGGGGCTGTTTGGGGCCACATTCTGTGCTCAGAGTTTATTCCTGGCTCTGTGCTCAGGGATCACTCCTGGTGAGGCTCAGAGAACCTTAATGGGTGCCGGGGGTGAACCTTAGTTGACTGTGTTCAAGGCCCTGCTCACTGTGCTACCCAACCCTGGTGGTTGGTGGTTTTTTTTTTGTTTGTTTTTTTTTTTTTATTGAGCCTAGCTTGTTCAAACACAAGTGGTGAAGAGCTCATCTTTCCAGGGAATTAAAAGAAAGGTAGGCTTACCAGAGAATATTATTTTGCTACTTTGGAGATAATGGCTTCAATATTTTCTGATTTGGGCCCCTGTGATCAGTTCTTAAGTGAAAAATGGAATATTTGGGACTGGAGAGAAGGTACAGGGGTTCAGCTACTTGCCTTGCACACAGACAACTCTGGTGCTGCCCCAAAACCAAAGTCGATGAACAATGGGAGGACAGTGCTACAGACAGTGCTACAGTGATGGCAATCTAGCAAACACGAAACTGATGTCAGCAGGTAGACAGGGATAGGCCCTCGGCAATGAAACTTAGGTCAACAAAACTTCTGGGAAGGAAAATTTTGAGACTGATCCACCCTGACAAGACCTTCAGTAGACCCAGAGGAGATTGTACCTCTTCCCATGAAGTTTCTCTCCTCAAAAATCCTTGGACCTCTCCTTAAATCTGATTAACTTTAGTGATTCAGCCCCCAGAAGACTCCAGAACTTCAGGATCACGACAACCCTCGAGAGCCTATAAAAGCCACCCTGAACAAAGGAAGGGCGCACATATGCTGCCAG